AACATTGCCTTTGCTTTGAAATAATAAATGGTACAATCTGTGAGAAAGTTTGATGAATAAGGGAATAATTTCTTATCAATGTCGAAGGTACACTTTTTGAGACTGTAAAGATAGAGGTGGTTTAGAGTTAGGCAGGAAAACATTCTATCAGTTGCTCCAGGGATACTTGAATGCCTTGTATCTGACTTTTGGCAAAGATGAGGGCATTGAAATTTATGATGTACCAAGGAATTCTCTCTAGCAGCCCCAGAAGTAATTTTCTGCACTGATACTTCGCGTCTGTCCAAAACAATCTGCAAGGCCTTGCTCGATTACTTAAGGGCCCCCACTGGGAAGCTCCCTGGGAATCTCACTCAGACCTTGGTGGTTAAAGCTGAAGGCTTAGCACCATCTTGTGTGAAAACTGGGCTCTTGAGAATATTGCACATGGGATTGATTCTTCAAGGCCTGGAGCTTGCCTTCACTGTTTTTCATCGGCTATGCACATACGTTCATTCACAATAAAATTAAAGGACATACTATAATGTAACTTTTCCTTTATAACCCATAAAGCATTTTTCCATAACTTTTGATCTTCAAAAATGACCCGAAAACGGAAAGAATACAAAATCACTGCCTAAGTGTCAGTGAGATAACAAGGTGCACTTTATATGTAGACAGCCATTTTCACAAATATCTCTGTCCATTATCATCCACTGTTGATTGTAACATTGAAAGAAAGGCTACAGACAAATTGCTAGAAAATTATATTTCTAGGTGTTTTTCATTCAATTTTAGTTTTTCCTCATCTATTTCCTTAAATTAGTATTCTCTCTTCACAAATTTACAACAGATTTAGAAAATAATAGATCATTGTAGTCAACAAGAATATTTTATAAAAGTAATCTTCTATTGACTGTATTTTAAATTTAAAACTTATTTCCACTCTTTCATTTATATGAACATTTTCTCAGCAATTATGATGAGGTGGAAATCATATGATGGGTGATGTACATTGATAAAAGCAAGGGGCTGGGGATTTAGCTCAGCGGCAAAGCGCCTGCCTGGCAAGCGCAAGGTCATGAGTTCGGTTCCTGGTACCGGAGAAAAACCAAAAAAAAAACCAAAAAAAAATAAATAAATAGATAAAAGCAAGACAGAGGACTTTAATCTCTTTTAGACTATAGCCTTGATTTGTGTATAAGTGGATGTGTTTGTATACATGTATGGTACACTTCTACAGCTAAAACTTCAAGAATAAAACAGAAGACAGGCAGTTAACTTAGTAAATGTTGATATGCTTTGGAAAAACACACATGTGGAGAATCAAGCAAGGTATGATAATAAAAGGAAGGCAGTAATAAGGGTGAGCTAGTAAAAAAGCAGTTTTAGTCAGGCTGTAAAGCATGTCTAAATATCCAACAGCAATTAAATGTGGGCATAGGAAAGTATTTTTATTTATTTTTTTATTTTTATTTTTTGGTTTTTCTCCGGTACCGGGAACCGAACTCACGACCTTGTGCTTGCCAGGCAGGCACTTTGCCGCTGAGCTAAATCCCCAGCCCCAGGAAAGTATTTTTAAAATATCAAGAAAAAAATCAGAGAGAGAAGCCACATAATTAAAGTGTGCTGAAGTCATGAGCAAGCTTTCCCTTAATTACTCATCAGACCTATGTGTGAATTCATTCTCATTGCCACCCATCTGATTCTCATTTCCTCTTGACAGAGCATAAAACATACCCTCCTAGACACCGTATTTAAGAGTGGGGTCCAACTACTGTACCTGAGTTGACAAATCTTTACCTCGGTACATATATTCTTCATTGAATTCTTCAAATAATTGCAATCTGGATTTTATCTAGGCTACTCAAGGGGTTGTCCACTTTAATGTCTCAGGAAGTGCATAATCACCAGAACACTGACCTTGTGGAATGACAACTTTAACATTTATTTAATTGTTTAAAAACAGGCTTTCTTTGTACTCCTGTATCGACTCCCACATATCAGCAGCAACTTTGCTTCACGTGTCTTCAACATAGTACTGAAGATTTAGTTCCTATTTAGGGCAAGTTATTTTATGGCAGAAAAAGAAGAGATAGAAGATATAGGTGGTGTTTCTTGATTGATGCATATTATATTTGCTTATATGACACTGGCTTAGAGCAAGTCACAGGCACAGTAGCATGGGGAGGCACCACTGCTCCTTGGAGACACCTCACCTTAGGGGGCAATGGGCAGTGACAGTGACTCATAAACTTGCTCAAAGTAGGGGATAATTGTGAAAAACAATATACAGGTATTGACAAATATACCAGGAAAATCATAGAAGAGTGTAGCAAAAAACACACCCATGACATTTAGTATTATTATAGATACTACAAAGGAATCTAGCAAGGATTTTTTTCAATGAATTGTTGAAACAAAATATTATGAAATGCTAGGATCAAACAAGAAGGAAAATTTTACAAAGAATAAACAATGAAATAAAAAGGAGAGCTTTTTACAGACCCACAATTTGGGAGGCAGCAGTGCACATGAACAGCTGTTGGGTACCTATTTGGTCCAGACTTTGGTATACTTAGCAGGAGGTGGGGACATAACAAAAGAAGAGGAGGGCAAAGGCCAAATTAGTAAGAACAGAAGAGTAAAATTCAGCGAGAAAGTGCAGAGTATGAATTGGGGATAAATACATATAGCAAGTCAGATTTTGCAATTGAGCAAATATTAAATAACGTGGATAAACGACTGCTTTGATTATTACAATTTTCAGTCTTAAACATTTTCCCTAAAAAGTCTTCAAGGGATGTTATGAGGGAGTTATAATAAGGAAAAAGTTCCTCAGAATCTCAATATTTAGAAGGGGCCAGTAAGCGGGACAAGAAAAATATAATATTTGACCTTTTTTAAAATTTTTTTCGGTAGAAGGAATGGAAGTCAGTTCCTTGTACTTGCCAGGAAGGTGCCTGTGCCGCTGAGCTGTATCCCTCGCCCAAATAATGCTTAGATAGAGATAGAGAGAGGGCTTTTCCTGGCTGGAGTTAAGGTGAAATGTGAGACCAAAGCACTACTGTCTTGGCAGTCTCAGGCTCACCCCCTAGAGATCAGAGCCAACGGTGGATCCTGAGAACACTGTACTTTAGAAGAAAAGTGGTTCCAGGAATTGTGAGGTCTAAAAATTTGGGACTCTGCAGGAAAAATGTGGCTACTTAGCACTGTTCAGGCAAAGAATTTCATATTAGAATCCATAACTGATTCTGTTAGAGGAAAGTGAGATGAGGATGACTTGCTTTGGGGAGATCAGTCTGTCACAGACTGAACAGGACATTATCTGCACGAGCGCTTTGCCTGACACAGCAGAGAACAGTCAGTACTTCTTACAGATTCTGAAATGTGGAGAAATATACAACTAAATATTTCAGTTTGAACACAGACCATATTGAACCTGAAGATTCACACTTTGCTATATGGATGCATATTCATACTCAAATAATCATTCCATCATAAAATCCCATCATAGATGCATAAATATAAATTATAGTTGTAAACAGTGCATGCAATAAATGCATCAAGGAACATTGTAAAGTAGAAATTATGATATCAAAATGGATAACAAAGATTAGCATATAATGCCAGCTAGATAATATTTTCTTTTAATATCATGCAGTAATTAATGTTTTAATATGTAAGTATATACATATATACATAAGTGTATGTAATAAAATAATAATCCTGAATATGTAAATGCTTATATATTCCTTTCTATAAACTTGGAACTTTTAGAAGACTTCTACCTGTATCAGTTAATATCCCATGCACATAAGAGAATATGAACCATAAAACTATATGCTGCCCTATATTTTTAGGAAAAGGGAACAGTCGGTAGTTAAATCAATAATTAAACTAAATAGCCACTGATTATTACCCTTGTTAATTTTCTATAAGTAATAAGAGATGCTTAGAGATCCAAATGAATAAAGATATCAATCCAGATATAGAGTAACATATCCATATTTAAACCTCTTTCTTTGCTCTGAAATCTTCCTCTGTGTTGAAGTCAAATCCTCCACTGACTATGGTACATTTAAAAATTACTGGACTGAATGCACCTAAAAATGCCCCTGAAAAATTATATCTCGGCTGAAGACCTGCTTTTCATATGACTAAATTATAGGTTGCTCATGATAGAACTCAAAAAGAGGGGCCAGTCACAAAGCCTTCCTATACTGAGAACAGTCATTTTAATTTTGGCTTAAAGGTAATCGGATGCACTGAAGAGTTACCAGGGCTGGAATCTTTGGTAGAGAGGTAGGAGACACGGTGAGACAGAGAGTAGAGAGCCCAAGTTATAGCAATTTAAGAAAAAAATGAAATGGAAGGCAATACCCTCATGCATGAAAATAGAGGCAATAGAGCGCATGTGAGAGATGTTAAGGAAATACAGCGGGCCCACAACAGACTCAAAAACCAAAATGGGGACACCTATGATAACTTTAACACACCTTTTAGCCTCTTAGAACATTTTACTAACACAAACAGGGAATAAAGTATGAAAAAGAAGTTTCAAAAAATTCTGTTTCTAGCTTCACAAATATAGACACAAATGTCTGCTGACACTTGGAAAGGAACCTTCTGAATTCAATTTTTAAAGTTGAAAAGATGCAGATAATGTCAAAAATAACTTCAACAAGAAAAGAAGTGATTTATTTGACTTAAAATATAACCTAGTATGATACTTTACAGTGTTTTGCTCGGCACTGTTTCTGAAAGTTCACATGTGACAGAAGGCAGCTTACAGACTCGAAAAAGAGATATTAGGAAGGCAGCAGAGCAAGTCAGGGATCTTAGCCCTGAAGGATGTCATACAATGTGGCAGTTTCCTATCAGAGATATGGGGAGATTGCTCCTAAGCACAGAAAATATTCACAAAGGAAGTACTGAGCGTGGGGCTAATACATTTGCCATTTTAATAAACATGTTGCTGAAGAGAGCAATAGGATAGACAAAAAATATTTGTTACTTACCATTAACAATAACAATAATATCACGGAAATCAATTTCTCCTCTTGCTTCCACTCTCCCTTCACATCTGTATATTCCTTCATCACTTTTATTGATGTTGAGGATCTGGAGATTATTGTTGGCTAACACAGAGAACCGATCTGGCAAGGAGGCAAAGGGCAGGAAATGGTATCAGTAATTGAAGCCTGAGTCCAGTGTGCTCCGAATTGCTAAGAGTTAAAATACGGCAGTTGTCTGACACTATCAAAGTTTTCATCAACAAACAAATTCAAATTTGAAAGTAAAATGTAATTTCATGGCTTCAGCTTCTCCACCCTACACTGCCTTGTTATACCTTTTTCCTAAAATACATTCAAGACTTTATATCCACATAAAACAGTTAGGTTATTATTTTTCCCTTTGGTGCTTTGAATGTAGAAATGACACACAAAAGAACAATGCAATGAGATTAGGTATTGCAGATATGGAAACTTTTGATGGCAAATATGTAACGACTTGGGAATGGAAAGAGGTTGGAAAATTTACTGAATATCCTACCTCAACAATTAAACTAAGAGCTTCTCATAATCTGCAGAATCAATTAATGGCACAATAGCATTCAAATCACATAAACACTTTACATGCTCTATAGCTTGCATTTATGTCAGGAATTGTTTTATGGTTAAAAGCAAAATAGTCTTTAGCAATGACTAGATTAGAATTGAATGAATAGATTGAATTTCATTTCAATTCTATTTGTGTGTATCTATGTGTATATATGCTTACATACAAAATAAGCAAATACAGAGCTTACATTCTAATTCATAGTGCAATATGATATTCTATGGTAACATTTTAATTCATAGTGCAATATGGTATTCTATAGTAATATAAGATACTGGATCTCAACATACCATTATTTTGTAAGTCCGTTATTGTGATTCATTGCAGGTATTATTGTGATTCACTACAGCTTTAAAATTCCTTCTTTACAAATACCAAGAATGTTCTTACATTTCTATTTTGAGACCCTTTCAACAGGCAATACATAAAATGTCATTAACTAGTACATCCTACTGATTATCATACATTGTTTAATAGGAGACACACAGTCTTTATCTACTTTGGGCCTTTTGGTCAGGTAGAAATGCAAATAACTTGGGGTGTACAGTATCTAGGATCCTTATAGTCTAGGGGTTACCCATTGAACTTGTTCTAATATTTAGTGCTCTTATGCTATCTGCAGCCTTGACACAGATGTTAGGGAAATCATGGAAGCCACTTGTAAAACAGGTAGAAATCCTGTCATCTGGATATCTAGATCCAGACTAAAATCCTGTGTATACTCTTGCTGCCAAGTTGAGGTGCATGATCAAAAAATAAACCACTATGGTAATAAGCCATTCAGATTGGGGAATGGATTTATCATAATGAGACAGGATATATTTAGGATGGAAATACACATTCCGGATGCAACTAGCAATAGACTGCCATTGAAACAGACAAGCAAGTAGTTCCTGGTTGTGAGAGACACAACTGAAGGCGAAAGGAAAGTGGAGATTTGGAGGACACCTTAGAAGGAAATTAATGAATATAAAGTTAGAGCCCCATTGTTTTCACCACAAGATGTATGAACTTTTCATTTTTCTTCTTTAAGTTGACCCTAAGAATGGAGACAAAATAGTTTATGCACATTGTTTTCTCTGGTCAATAAAAATACAAGCATGAAATTTTCTCACCAGTGGAAGACCAGAAAGAGGGGTGATCTGTAAGAATTTTTAGGGTATGAATCACATAAAATCCTGAAATAACTCTGAACATCTAAGAATTCAAAAAGTTTCAGAGTCCGAAGAATTTATTTCAAATATTATAGTGTGAAATTAGTGTGAGAAGAGGTTGTAATTTTGTAAAAGTTTAAAGTTTGTAGGGACCCTTCTAATAATATGTAGGTCATTATAATATTGTGTTCTCCAACTTACCAAACTATGTGCCATTTTTTAACTTTAATGCTCCATTAAAGTTATATTCTATTGAATTATGAAAAGTAGTAAGGGCAATGTTATTTTCAACAGTAATTGATTGATTATATTACATAATAAACATCTTTGATGAGAATAAATCAGTGTTCTCCATTTACTGAAATCTTCTTCGATCTCTTTTTTCAGAGTACTGTAGTTTTCATTGAAGAGACCTTTTACTTCTTTTGTTAGATGGATTCCTAAGTATTTCAATTTCTTGGATGTTATTGTGAAAGGAACGGTTTCCTTAATTTCTCTCTCAGTCTGTTTGTTGTTTGTGTATAGAAACGCTATCGATTTCTGGGTGTTGACTTTGTATCCAGCTACACTGCTGAATTTGTTGATAGGAAGAACCAACATCGTGAA